GTATATCGGGCAAGTGATGTTACTGCGTGGATCGATGTATTTACCTATAAATATTGTATTTTTGGCATAAAAACAAAATAGCTAAAAAGGTGACATGTGTCGTTTCTCAAATGACCGATTCAGTTGACAAAAACAAGCAGCCTCATTCTAGACATATTTTCATTATGTATTGTATCATTGTCGTACCTTTTTTTTCGTGTTGATTATCGTCGTATATGAATAATGCAATAAATTATGCAATCCCTAATAACACTGCTCTGCCAGAAACATCCCATTTACGTTTCCTGTATGTTTCAATGTTTCTGACATAAATGGAACGTCCCTACGATGTCTCTAAAGAAACGTTTCTAGAATGATTTCTCAAGAACGTTTTAGAAACATCGTAATTTTGTATAGGTATTCTATTTTCGTTTTAAATATTATTTTGAAATATTAATAAATTATAAAATTACTGCAATCGCCAGAAATCTAAAATAATATCAAATTCCAATATTAAATTTGAAGATTTTAAACAATATTTTTATTTCAAAAGTTCCTTCAAAAAAGAGTGCAAAGCAAATACGACAGAGATGAATATACCTTTCCTTCTGACTGGAGGTCTTCTGGCCCAGCAGGAGAGTTCGGTTAATCCTCCGCGAGCTATAAAAATACACTATTGACAGAAGCCCTCGTGATGGAATCTATTTCTTTGCATTGAAAGTGTAGCACTGAGCTACAGTATACACGAAAATATCGTTTTATTTATACAAATTGTATGGATGGAAAGATATTTTCGATGAAAAGGAATAGACCTCATATTTGTTTTGCTCGCGGAGTATTAACCGAACACCTCTACCGTATAATCAGATACAATAACAATATTGACATATAACAGACAGTTCATTGTTGACAGTTAAAAATGAAAAGATGTTTCACCCAAAGATATCGGATAATAGATACGCCTTGTATACATTACACTTGTCCGCAACTTTTTTTTGACGGTACGCTCTTCCTATGTTGTCAGATCTCTTTCATCAAATATCAAACATTCAATTTTTATTTAAAAAGTTACTATTACCTTTAATACAATCTAATAAAAAAGGAAATAAAGAATTGAAAGCATCAGTATGAGTTTTTTATTAATTGCAATCACTTAAGACTTTTAAGTATCTATTTTTACATTTGTATCATATGGGAATATTAAACATTTTGGTATAAATCATTTAACTTTGGCAACCTAAGACATTTTGCTGATGTTCTCAAAGTGACAGATCAAGTTTTATTGTGATTTTTGTAGTTTTTTGTAGTTTTCAAGAATAATTTAAACCCTGAACTTTTTATTAAGGACTTTTACGATGGGGAGGAAAGGTATTGTGTGCCGAAATACGCAGAATAAGAATGTTATTCGGTCATTTCATAAATAAGATTATGTTAGCATAGACGTAGGCATATACAGGGAATAAGGCTTAATTTATTTAACAGTGTAAAGGCATTTAGCACTAGCATTGTTTATTTAAATAATAATGTTCTATATTTTCTGATCAGGTTTCCTAGAGAAATTATTCAACGTAGAATTTGGCTGTAAAATCTATGCTTTGTGGAGGAAGACATTATGAAAATATAAGAAGCTTTAGTATGTTCTGACCATTTTTGTATGGCAGATATTTATGAAAATTTAAGTGGTAGACACATCTTAAAACATAATGCTATACCTATCAAGTAAGTACAGTATTTATTATGGGTATTTTTATTATATGTAAGCTCTAAAATTATACAGTAATCATCACATTTTACAGAATTTTGGGAGAGGTAGTTGAAGAGGCGAAAAATGAAGAAAAAAAATACTTTTTTTTAGTGCAGTTCGTAACAGATGCTTCAATAACAATCTCACATGAAGATTGTTTCAAAATTGTTATAAAAAATTATTAATTCATAATGAAGTAAAGTCAAATAAAACTGCCAATGCAATTGCTTTAGATGGCACCAGCATCTTCGATTGTAGCAACACTAGTAGCAAAATTGCGTTAAATTTAAAATGTTACGAATCAGACACTAAAGAAAATTTGGAATTTACAAATGAGCTTCGTGACAATGATTACCTATCTATATATTTTCTGAGCGAATACATTCAGGATGTATTTGCTTATATTTCTGGTTTTAAAGTAAAATCCTTAAAGAAAAAGATTCACTGCAAACAGTGTTCTGCAATTGAACCAGTGAGTTCGAAAACCGTACAAGTCTCAAATTTGACATTTCAAAATAAGCCATTTCGTTTAAAATTTGTCTCTTCATCGATGCGCTAGTTCAGTGATGATGTAATTATGGTTCCACTGACAATTAAAGTGACAGTAGATTTTTGGAGTGCGTTTTGTTCGTTTTGTTTACCTAAATTATATCGTTTTTTTTTCACTTTTATAAATATATTCCTAAAGTAAGTAGATAGCATGTATCAAATATACAATCGTTTTGTTACCAATTAGATACTTTTAAACTATTTTTTATGACCTGTAAACAATATTTTGAAATAAAATAAAAATAGCAAAAACGTATATGTTAAATTTATTGATGTTTTTGTTAAAAGTTTGGTTAGAATTAAATGTCAGTCGAACCAAAATGACATCACACTAAACTAACGTATTGGGCTTAAAAACCGTACTAGATACCTAGCTGTTAATGTAGTACAGCTGATTATACCCGTGAAATTAGGTGAAAAACCGTACATATCTGCGACTCGTACGGTTTTTCATCTCAATTACAAAATAATGGTCAGTTGCTATGGTCAGTTGGAAAAACACAAATACTGAGAATGATAATTATATAACTGAGATAACAGTTTTGATATTGTATTTTTCCTCCTTTTTGAATAAATATAAAATAAATCTTTTCTCTTCGACAGACTTTCTGTCTCAACTGTCAAAGGTGCTACTTTCTGTTCTTAATACACAAATAGCTATTTTGTCTTTTATTCCAAAATATGCTTTACAAAATATCAGTTATCTTATAACACTAAATAAATCTATTGAGCAGATTCTTCACCAAGAGTGTTTGTAGGAGTAATCATTGATAGTAAAATGACATTCGAAATGTCACAAAAGAAGCTTCCTTTAGTGTTTTTTCTATTCGGACAAATTAGAAATAAGGTATCTCTTGATAATCTTAAGCTAATGTGTTTTAGCCTTGTCCAGATATTATAAAAGCATTGCTGCTTACTGTCCTAAATGAGTTATTATATCATTACACAAATAATTCTAAAAATAGGTGTCGTGACATGCAACCCAAATGGTATGTAATAGAAAGATCATATTTGTATATTTATGTATCTGAAATAAAATTGTTCTGTTTTTAATAGCTTTTTATTTCATAAAAAAAGGTAGTCCGGCAATATAATTATTCTTTTTTCGACCTGTAATAAAGGTTTTCAAACAGTGCCCATGTAAAAATAATAATAAATGGCTTTATATTTTTACTTGCTCTTTGCTCTTCATGTATTTAAAAAATATATATATAATAAAATACTAACAAAAATGTTCTTCCACTTTGAGCTACCTACTATTTTAATCTATAAGAAAAAATATAAAATGACTTTTTGAATGCCCTGTATAAATTGAATATGTTTTCTTTAAATTTAGCTTTGATTCCGAAGACCCATAGGTTATTGATTTGGTCATTAAATAATTTTTACTAAAAATATATGTAAACCCTCCCGAAACACTACGTCAATGTGCGACGTACGATTCCCCTTTCCCCGTCAAATAAAACATGCGGACAGAAGGTGTATTGGATATACAGTGGGTAGGGCGAGTCTATCTTAGATAATATGATGTCTATGGTTTCACCTCGCTTTTGATAAAGTTTGGAAAAGTTTAAAAGTAATAAACATCTTGTCTATAAACTTTTAAATAAACCAAAAGTTGACGTGTATAGTCTGTAAGTAAAGCTACATGAAAAATCTCTTCCAATTCGAAGTTTGATCAGGCTTGGCAAATGCAGGAACAATCGTTTTACGTGCAAGATATTCAAGCCAAAATGAAGAAGGTAACTTAATAGTTAAAAATAGTTAAAGCTATTATTGGTAATTATTTTAACTTAATTATCAATTGTTTATATTGTCATTTAATTGAAACATTTTCAGATTCTGTAAATTGGTAAACAAAAAGGAAATGGAAATTGAAATAGGTGACTGGTTGTGAAGGGCTCCGAAAAAAAATAGACGCAATGCATCAGAGTGTAATAATTAACATTTTTTATTTTTGTGTCAAAAATTATTTTGTTCTAATAAATTTATGAAACAAAGTAATATATTTGATTATCCCACTAAAAAAAACATTTAGTTCGTTTCTGGAGCGTTCCAGCAATAGTATAAAAAACTTACCTAAGACGTTTGAGCAACATCGCAGGATGTTCCACAAATGTCTCTGTGAAACGTCTCTAATACGTTACAAATGATGACATGGTCATTGCCAGAAACATCCCAGATACGTTTAAGGGAGGATAAGAAACATGACAGAAACGTTTCGAATGTCCCAAGTACATGTTTCTGGAACGTTCGTGTAACAACACTGTGCTATTAGGGATGTTGTGTCGCATTTTAAATACCCCAGAATCAGAAATCTATACAGTCTATTCTAAACACACAAATATAAGGTAAAATTAGTAAAACTACCCCTTATTTGCGCAACTGGATCAAAAATAAATCCCTCGGATAAAAAATACATTTCTAAATCGTGTTTTTACTAAAATCTCACATTTTAAATAGCACCTTACAATAGGCACATTCCTTAGAACATTATTTTCCAGCTCATAGCCTTCTATTATAAAACAAACATTTTTATAGTAAAAATTTATATTTGGCAACACTGTCATACATTCCAAAAAACAAAATATACATTTAATAAACTGTAATGTTGTATTTTTAAGATACAACTTGATTTAATCATTATTTATTTAATTATAATTTCGACTAGCTCAAACATTGTATATTGCTTTGTAATGAAATTTGATTCTTATTAAAATGTACTTACCTATATTAAATCTCATAAGGTATTTTTCTTTTAACTTAAAATAGATAATCTTACCACAGAGCAATTTTTCTACCTTATCAATTAAGATACTTTTACTATCAATTTTAAATTTTCCTTTGTGAACAATGTAACTTCCCCCAAATTTGAGCTTTTAAATAAACTTAATGGATCAAACGACTTACTTGAAGGAAATTCGATCCTAATTATGCGAGCATCCTTGTTAGTGGAAATAGAGATAACCATGTAGTATACCTATGTTACGCCGCTGATCCACATGTTCAGATTTAAAATTTTATGTCACTCTCTATCGCTGCCTCTGCCTGCCTAAATTACTCATTACCTGTTGTGGAGCCTAGGAGTTTGGGGTTAAAAATAATATAAATATGGTGGAGGTGGGACTTTATTTTCACTAACAAGGATGCTAGCATAATTAGGATCGAACTTCCTTTAGGTAAGTCGTTTGATCCATTAATTATGCTTCACATCCTTGTTAGTGGAAATAAAGATAACCATGTAGTTGTTTAGAGGATGTTCTATTCAAAATAAAACTAGATTTTTGCTTTCTACGTAAATGTATACAATAGACTATGCAAAAAAAATATTACTAGAAATTTCCCACAAAATTAACAATAATAATTAATAATAATACTAATGAATTAATCATTAAACAACGTAACAAATAATAATATTGAATTTTAACAAGCCAGTTTTATAATTTTTTAATACTTTTGCGAACGTTGGTTTTACGCATTGGTCCTGAAGACCTGTGAGACTTTGTTTTTTTTCTTTTTCTCCATAAAATAAAAATTGTTTTTGCCGAGCATAAATTGAGGTAATTCGTGGGAGAATGAAAATACTAATAAAGACTGGGCTCGTTGTTTTAGCATTTCGTCAATGAAAATTTGTATATTATTAGTTTCCACCTTGATATTTTCAACTTTAATTTTTGAGAAAGTTTATACCCGTTGGGCTGCAAGCATAACAAGTTTGGCTCTTAGCTGTTTTAAGTTTTTCAAGTGAAAAATTGAAGTATTTTAAAACTGTGTTTTGGTCTCATGTTTAAATACATTTTGGCAAAACAGGATGACCCTTTTAGACATTTCCTAATATACATTTTCTTTTATTATTCAGAATTTCTATAATGAAAGTTAGGGACTATTTATAATGAGAGCTAGGGCAGAACTCTGGTTATAAGGAGTTCTAAATGAAGGTTTGCTGCAGTGAATAACTAGGTTTAATGTTGACATGTACCGTAAAAAGCATTTATTTTTTTTTGTAATATGAGATGGTTGAGTTTCCCATTTTGGTACAATCACTATGCCTTCTGCTTGGTCTTTCTAATTTTAGTACTTATACAAGAAATGCATCAGCTACGTAACAATCGAGTTCTCGCACACTTTAGATAAAAACACTTTTCTTTTTTTTATGATGTGTCATAGAGATTGTAAAGAATTAACCGTTGTATTACAATGTTTGAGACATTCATCACTAGATTTATTAGGTTATTTCCAAAAAGTTTAACTGATGTTTTACTGGTTTTAAAGTGTTTGCAAAAACATATGGAGCAAACGGTCAAACCAAATGTAAGACACTCAAATTCGTAAAATATTATTTTTTTTTCAAGTACTTTCCTGATTTTTTATGCATTGAGATGAGATAAGAGGCATCTTTTAATTTAATTTTTGACAAAATTGTCCTGTAACAAAATATTCTGGGCAGACCAGAGATCTTCCAGTTTGAAATGCGAGAATCTATATATTTGTTAAAGATAAATCTAGATGAATCAATTCATTTGGGTTTTAAAAAATATGAGAACCAAACTAATTTTCTTTAGCAAGCAAACACCTGTTGCATTCTTTGGTACAAGTTTTTCTTTTTTTTTAATTGAAGTGTGTAGGTTAGTTTTTTCTGAATACTTGTTGGTTCGTACTTTTTCTATCATATTTTTCACATTTGTGTTTAAAGAAGGATATATAAGGAGCCTACGATGCATATATTCTATGGTAGATGTCTGATAATACTTTTGTTACATTTGCATGCGTCTATTTCTGTTCCCTCCAAGCCTAGCTTACAGAGGTTCAGCTAAACTTCCCATCACCTTTCAAATTGGTCTTGCAGCATATATAAATAGCTGTCGGTTTTATTTGATGAAGTGACTAGTCTCTAAACTTTTTGGTTCGGAGTTTAAGGTAGGGGATCCAAGTGAAAATATTCCAGATTTTGATTTCGCAAAGAATATTTTGCCATTCTCCAAACCGTCTTGCAAATATTTTTCCAACTTTTTACCATTTCTTCGTTGACTGGTTTTCCGAGAGAGATGTTGCTATTAGAATCCGCTCTCAGAATATTCTGATACTGAATTTGATCCTTACTATTCGAACGTCTGTTCTGGTGAAGATGACGAGTTTTTATGTATATAGCTCTTAGATTCTGATTCTGAATAAACTTAAATCTATATTTAATCAATGGCTAATTCATGTGCACATAAAGGGACATTTTTTTAAAGGTACAGGATTTACCCATACAGTAATATAATCAATGAGCTTTGCGTAGCATTTTTGCGTCCTTGCATTTGATAAGCATAAGACCAGAGTTACCAGACATTTATTTGTCTATAATGCAGAATTTACATAGTACTTACATTCTGCTTTCAAAAGTTTTTTGAAGTTTACACTTTAAGTAGCATTTTTCGCATTGCGGTTAGCCGGGCTAGCATCTTATAAGTATAAGATTAGATTCAACACATAAAGCAGCCTCCTTTGTACATTTATTTGTTTATAATGCAGATTTTTCATATGAAATATTATCTTTTGTGGCCAAATTTTTGCGAAATTTACACATTAAGTAGAATTATTCGCAGTGCGGTTAGCTGGGCTAAGTATAAGATCAGAGTTAATACATAAAGTAGCCTTCTCTGTATATTTATTTTGCAATAATATGCGGAATTTACACATTAAGTAGCATGTTTCGCGGTGCAGCTAGCCGAGTTTGCAGTTTATAAGTATAAGATCAGAGTGAACACATAAAGTAGCCTTCTCTGTATATTTATTTGGCTTAAATGCAGAACTTACACATAAAATAGTATCTTCTCAACCAGTTTTACAACATTTATACATTAAGTAGCATTTTTCGAAATGCAGTTATCCGAGTTTGCAGTTTATAAGTATAAGATCAGAGTTAACACATAAAGTAGCCTGAGTACATTTATTTGGCTTAAATAATTTACACATAAAATAGTATCTTATCGACCAAAGTTTTACAAAATTTACACATTTAGTAGCATTTTTCACGTTGCAGTTAGCTGGGCTTGCATAATGTAAGTATTAGATCAGAGTTAACTTATAAAGTAGCCTCTTCTGTACAGTTATTTGTTATTTGCAGAATTTACACATAAAGTAGTATCTTCCGCCACAAAAGTTTTGCGAAATTTGCACATAAACCGTATTTGTCGCTCTGCATACGGCTTATATAAATGATGTATATTCTGCATATTTATATGTCGTCTAAATTTGGAAATTTACAGTAAAGCCTTATTTTATGCAAGCTAAAAATCAATTAAATTTTGAAGAAAACCATTCTCAAACCTGTACTAGTATAAGATCAGAGTTAACACATAAAGTAGCCTCCTCTGTACATGTTTTTGTCTATAATGCAGAATTTACACATAAAGTCGTATTTGCCCCCCATCAAAGTTTTGCGAAATTTGCACATTAAGTAGCATTTTTTGTTTTGCAGACGGATTTTATGAATGACTGCACCGTTAACACATAAAGTAGTATTCTCTGTATATTTATTTGTCATCTAAATGCAGAAATTTACACATAAAGTAGTATCTTCTGCAAGCAAAAAATCAGTTAAAGAAAAAGAAAAACATTATTTTCCTACCTATGCTCTGAATACCTTCATTTATTTTTCAATTTATCGTATTTCTGAGACGATTTGCGTTTTCGAGAGTTTTTACACATGTTTTTATAATCGCTGGAATGTGGTCGGTTTGAACAATGTGAATCACGCGACACAACAATTGATAATGAGTAATTTAGGCAGGCACAGGCAGCGATAGAGAGTAACATAAAATTTTAAATCTGAACATGTGGGTCAGCGGCGTAATATAGGTATACAACATCTTTATTTCCACTAACAAGAATGTGAAGCATAATTCAATAATTGTAATAAATTATTTTTATTATTTCTACAATGCCAATATAATTTCTGTTGACAGAGAAACAGCGCATAAATCTACCTTCAGTATTAAGATTTAAGAAGTGGGGTTGTTAGGTATTAATCTACTTGAAAACATGTGACGGATAAACCATAAATAAAGCTAAATATATCATTCCACTAGCACAAAAAAATCTTCTCACAGACTCTAAAATTCTGACGAACAAAAGAGAAAGTTAGTTCGGACGTTTTGCCTGACACGGACGGAAGTACGAAAACATAAATTCAAGTTTCCATTAAAATATTTATCGTTTTCATTCAACATTAATTTGTCAAAGAGACAATAAGGAATGAAAAAGCGGCAGACGTACATATAAGAGGGCATTTGGGTAGAAAAAGGGCCAATGAATAGTCTGTAGGCCGGATACAATAACGTAGGTTTGAACATAAATTAAATAAACAACTAATATATTGTCTCTTAGAAATAAATATTGCAACTTCTGTATCCAAAGGAAAATTTTCACTGTTTCCATTTATAGAAAAAATTACCTTCTTAAAATGATGCGCAAATACAACTAATTCACTTGGGCAAAAACAGTCAACTGAATTATAAGATACCAACATCAAATTATACGAATTTTATTAGTTAAAAACTTGTGTATACTCTGTTATAACATAATATTACGACGCTGTCGCGAAACCTAAATTTTAGAGAGATATTCTGCATAAAATCCGTGTTTAAAAGAAGTAAGAAAATGCTTCCTCTTAAGGTACCATTTTAAACATTTGCGGTCAAAAAAATGAAAGGAGTTGTGAGCTAAATGTGTGAAGCCAATTTACAAACAAATATTGTAG